CTACCACCACTACTACTACTACGACGTCTACCACTACCACTACCACTACCACTACTACTACTACTACTACTACTACTACTACTGCTACTACTAACAATCACCACCACCACCACCACCGTCAGCGCCAGCGCCAGCACCACTCTGACAGGGAAATACCAGATGGAAAGTGCTGACACGCTTCAAACACTGCAACTGATAGCATTTTTGATCCACAGTTGGCTCTTATCGTTTTTGTGTTTCATGCTTTGGCCCCTTTTTGTGATCCATATCTCCTGAAAGGCAGAGTATCATTTGCGCTTGTGGGACTGAGGCCGCGAGCAACCCAGTACAGCCATGGGTACTGATACGACCAGGCCTTGGCTGATTTCAGGCCAGCCTTTCCGTGCCGAGTCTACAGTCCAGAGCTCTGGCTGCGTAAGCTCATAACCCATGTCACAAGTTTGCTGCAATCTGCTTGCACTACTAGGGCGACGGCTATCGCATGGATGCCTTGGAAAGAGATGATGAAGGAATATGCGAGCTTAAACAGCACGCGCTGCACCTGTCAGGGTGGATGCAAAGTAAAGGGCCGTCTAGGACAGGAAGTTCTGCGCTGCGCTTTGCCTCAGGCCCGCGGAAATACTTGAGCAACGGCCACATGGTGATGTTGTTTACCTTGGAGGGCCCCTGCTTTGGGCGGACGGTGTGATAGCTGGAAGGTCAAGGCAGAGCATGCGGAAAGCCGGGTTGCCATGAAAATGATCCACGTGGAGATGGCCCAGAGCACCCCTGAGCAGAGCAGATGAACAGAGAACTGCAAGAAGCCGCTTACAGCTTCCCAGGCCCGCCAGGCCCGCCATGGCCTGGCGACTCTCGGAGGCATCGCTCCTGTGCCCCGCTGCCCCCTTCCTTTCCTTTCTCTTCCTCCCCGCCCCGGTCTCAGACGTCCTCGACGATCGCATAGAGAACCACGCCAATCTGCATGGCACCGGTCCTTGGCAACGATTCTCAGCGCGGCACATTGCAGTGATGTGGCATCGGGAGAGTTGAGATTGCGGCGCAGTGTGCATGAAGCCACCTCAAGTACTCACACGTGTCTTGCCCGCGTTGGGCTGCAAAGCTCCACGACGAGAGGCTGAAGGAATTCGACTTCCTCTTGAGGAAGGCCATCTGGAAAAGTGAGAAGAGGGAAACCTGCAGAGTAGCGGATGTGTGAGAAGGCGGACCTAAGCCTAAGCCTAACGTGCTGACTTGGTCGTGGCTCTTGAACACATCCTCAACACGTGAACTGACGAAGCTACAAGTACAGTAGGGAATGGTTATGAGTGCCGCCCTCCATGAAGGCAAGACACTGCCGACAAAAGGCCCATGAAGCTGTCCTGCCACACAAACTGCAGCCATGCTGTCTCCAGCGGAGTGCACTTGTCTGTCCCTGCTGCACAACTTTCCTCGACTGGGCTATCAAAAGCAGCCAGCTACTGCCTATGCCGCCACGTGCATATCACGTCCAATGCCACTTGTTTGCTGAAAGATTCTGCGTGTTGTTGAGAACTTCTTGCTTCTTACCGAGAGAATCTCGACCCTGAGGTCAGTCAGTTGACCCGACGTCCTCGATCAAACCACCCGTGCCAGGTGCATGGTTGGCCCAAAGACCAGTCCACACGTCCTGTCCACAAGGCAGATTTACAACACAAAGGAAGGAAACGGGAGGCGCAGTCCTGGCCCCACTTCTCCACTGACGTCAGCCACGTCCCGAAGAATCCAGTGGCTTGGTTGGCCTGTTCAGGCGACAGCTGACAGAAGGAGTGGCCATTGGCCATGACTCCGTGCTGTGGGCATCTGATAAGATCGCAGGCACAACGCCCTGTCTTTCAATCCTTAAGTGAAACTTGCTAACCTAAGCTATCAGAGCATACCTATCGATGCAACTGTTGCAAGTGCTGCCTAGAGAATCAAGCTAGGAAGCCTCAGCGCTGAAGCTTCAGAGCTCTGCTGATCAGACTTCGGCCGGCTTACACAAACTTCAGACATGCGCCCGCGACTAGACGACTCCTCTTCGGCTTCACCGAGCAGGGCACGGGTCTCGATCATGCAGAGTCTTGTGGTCTCAGATAAACGGGAAGACCGGAAGACAACTACTTCACCGGTCTTCGGCGACCCTTGGCCCGTCTGACAGCATCAGAGCTTGCAGCGGCCGCGCTGGTTGCTGCACCTTCACCTGAGTGCACGCGAAGAATCACACCAGTCATGTGTAATGGAACTCACGTGGCATTGCGATTCGATCATACAGGAATATAGTTGACTTACTGTGCCAATACCACCAGTAAGCCCGAACCGATTGATGCATGGCGGAATCGTTGGCTATCCAGCCATGCTCTCTTACGTACCATTTGCCGGGTTGCGCTCTGCTTTCAATCCCCGGATCTTGTTAGCAATGGCCGCGGATTTCTTCCGCCGAGAATCGCTGGCATGATCCTGGCACACGTGAGCCGCATCCAGCAGCTTGCGGCACGGCAAAATTCTTGCACCGAAAAATGCGTCCTCCTCCTGCTCTTCCGGCTCCTCCTTCTCCTCTGTGTCGAGGCTACGCCAAGCATCGTAGCGATCCTGAGGAAGCACTCTCTCTCCTTCTTTCGCCAAGGCCTGGCCAAGGCTGTGGTGGAGTGTTGTTGCCCCCTACTCTCTCTCTTCTTCCTTCCTTCCTTCCACTTTCTTTCGCCAGGGCTAGGGGTAAGGAGGGCAAGCCCCTCTCTTCCTTCCACTCTCTCTCTCTCTCTCTCTCTCTCTCTCTCTCTTCTTTCGCCAGGGCTAGGGGCAAGGGAGGACTAGCCCCCCTCCTCGCTCTCGCTGTCTCTCGCTCTCTCTCGCTTGCTTGCTTGCTACCGAGCAGGAGCGCCAGGCGCTCCCGTCTGAACGGGCTCAGGTCCGCATTGCGTCAAGTGCACGTCGGCGTGAAAACACCCCCGCCTACACCTTGAACCCAACCTCAAAGCCTCCCCTGCCTTCATCCCGAATCAAACCGTACCTTGCACAGCAACCTTCCTGCATCTCTTCCTTTCGCCAGGGCTAGGGACAAGAGGGTTGCCCACTGCATCTTTTTCTTTCTTTCATTGGGCATGGGGGACTGTTGAGGTCCCCCGGCCTAGTGGCCCCCCATATGTTATGGGGCTTTGAGGGGACTGCCTCTCTCTCTCTCTCTCTCACTCTCTCTTTCTTTCGCCAGGGCTATGGTGTAGGGGTTTGACCCCCTCTCTCTCTCTCTCTCTCTCTCTCGGACTCAGAAGTCAGCCGTGCGGTCGTCTAGGGAGCACTGTCCTGAATGCCATCGGTTTAGGAGGATGACCCCTGTTGCCACTGAAGCCGAGAGGCTCTCGCAGCAGTCAGGTAGGCAAAGAGTCCCGCCTCACGTAGCTTCTCTGCTTCAGACGGCGCCTGGTCCAGGGCAGCCTCCACCTTCAGTCACAAAGGGACACTGCCAGCTGCCAACGTTACCAGCAGTGCATCGTAAACGCGTCAACTCTGGCACCGAGCCACCAGGGAAAGGCAACCACAGAGGCGTGCCCAGGCCTCGTCCCAACGAGATCACGTCCCGAAACTCTCGTCTGGGAATCTACTAGTAGTGCTCCTCTCGGCCAGCCTTCTGGAGGTGTAGTTCCACATGAGCTTCAGGTGGTAGCCAGCTCTGCAAATCTTCCTACGAGTAACAGCTCAAGGATCACTCCAACTGACACTCCATCACTTCGATCCCCCAGCCTGCGATGGCAACCGCGCCCACACTGTTTGAGGATCCGTGCCACGCACCAAGCTGGAGACCATCATGAGCACAATGGCCACAAGGAGGGCCTTCGGAATGAAGACTCCGACAATACCAACTAGACGCCACTTGGGCAGTGCCAGTGCAACAGATATCCAACAACCCTCGTATTGGCTTAGCTCCACCCATCGTGGTTCTCCAAATGGCAAAGTCCGAAGAAATAAGCACCAGCAGCAACGATCCCCTAAAGCCAGTTGCACAACACGCACTGTCAGTCCCATATGTCACATCTACCGGACATACGAGGACACAAAGAAGCTACCTGTAGGCCTTAGCGGCCCTAGCAGGTGAAGACCCAGTCATCAGCGCGACAGCGGACGCACAGACTTCATCTTTTGGCGATTTGACGTTCACCTACATTCACGGCACAGGAAGGCCTGGAGAAGCTCGAACAAGTGGAAGCTGAAGAGCCACCAGCTTGCCACGAAAAGGAAGCAGTTCCAAGCAAGCACCTCAATCCACTTGCGGATTCACGGAGCAACGAAAAGGAAGCTGGCGTTTCGGACACACTCGGTCCCCAGCTGCACAGCGCTCCTTGAGAATCATCGTGGCATCACCGATCAGCACCCAAGTGAGCTTGCGCCTGTGGAAGCTGCGGCTGCCAGTTCTGGGGCGGATCCCAGAAAAGACATTTGAAGTGTTAGTGTCACCAGCCTCCAAACGACAAAGGCTTTTCCTGCAGCAGTCATTATGACCGTGCGGATGCTTGGGTCTTGCAAATGTTTTCTATCCGGTAGTGAGACCGATGTGCATCTGTCGAAACTGCTTAGGTCAAGCAGAACACACGTCCATGCATTCAGGCATCTTGTCTTGCGTCGCATGTGTTGCTTGTGGAAGGCCGCACTCAGTACATTGTCACGTGCTAGCGCAATGACAGCTTCGTCGCTGTAGCAGCTGAAGCTATTCTGCTTGGGCATTGAAATCGCCGTCCCTATCCGAAAGACCCAAGCAGGATCCACTCGCTGTTTACATCATCGCAACATGAAGACTCCCAACCAACTGAGTTGAAAGGATACCCTCTTACCATGTTTTCCCAATGTTAACGGGAATCAAGGCCGACACGTCAACGAGCCAACTCTCAACTACCGTCGTTGTTCCGCAGTACTGCAAAGGCGGTAAAGGTTTCTCCGACATGTGGATGGTCGTCATCCCGTCTCAGTACAACTGTTCTGGGCCGTCCTTACTACGGCATGTTGTCAATGCATCAGAAAGCTGCAGGATAAGATTGTGCTGCTGCAGGATTTCGACTTCGTCGACTCGACATCCACGTTTCACTTTTTGCAGAGGGCGTTCCAGGATGTATTTTGTTCGCTGCGGGTTTCTCGCACTGTCGCCGTTGAAGGCTTTCCGGCTTTGCGTCGCAAATAGCTGCAGAAACTTCGCCAATATCTTTCGATTTGTGGAGCTTGGGGTCTTTTAATCTGCTGTGGGTGCCTCCCAGCCTCTATAGGAAACACGTTGCGTCTCGCTCTCTGAGCCCGTGGATCAGATTCGGCAGCTAGCACAGAGTCGAATATGAGTTCATTACAACCATAAGTTTCGTGCGAGCCGAGCATCTCAAGCGTTTCCGCTCCTTGGCTGCGAGCCACGGCCCGGCTCACCATTCATGAACGCTTCCGGGCAGCTCAAACAGTGCTCAAACAGACATGATTTGCTCGGCAAAGAACGACTCGCATTTCACACAAGATGCCTAGTCGCCGGTGAGCACAGCTACTTGTAAACAGAACAGCTTTTTGCGAGACACCATGGTAGCGGCATCTTCTCCTCAGGCATGAGAAGCAGGCACAATGTTCAAAAGCCTTCAGAACCTCCTTGACGTCCACAGCTACCAGGTTACCAGGTGCCCCTGCCTGGGAAGTTCACCAGCTCCCTCCAGCGTGGTTCTGTCCGCAGGATTCGCCGCAGAGCTGCAGGGAAACAGGGAATCCAAACGAACGAAAGGGCTTTCCTGAACTGCTTCGACGTTGCTAGCACGGCCACTTCCAACCATCAAACAGAATAACCAGCTGGTAATGGGTTGTGAGGATTTGTGAGGTGCGATTTTGATGCACCTCGAAGTACATGATTCACCCAGCATCACTCGAGAAGCTGGCCGCTGGCCGGATTGTGGCCTGCAGGGATTTTTTTCGTGTACTTCAGCACTTCGTCCTTGATCAGCCTGGAAGTCAGGAGACAGAAGGTGGAGCCTCCAAGCTACTGCCACATCAGCTTCCACACGCCAACCTAGCTAAGTGACAGGAGCTGATGCTTCATAAGCCCCTGCCAAAGTTTGTCGAGACTCTCCTGAGTCGTTCGAAGCTTCATTCACGTCATTTCTGGCTGTCCATCCAGTCCATCCACTTCCGCTCGCTGCAGCCAAAGGGCCATCTTAACACCACCGTACGATGCATCCGCTGCTTGCAGCACTCTTTGAACTTGCTCCCTGCACGGCAAGCACGCAGACTTCTCATTACAGCTGTGCAAATTCCGAAGGCTCCGGAGACACCGATGGCATCGCAATACGAACATAAACCAAAAAACTGGCATACCTAACACCAGGTCTTCCCAGTCATCCCAGCATCTGGCAGGAAGCCTGGAACGCTTGCTAGGGATGAAGATGGTCAGGTCCAGAGGCGTAGGTCGACAGAACTGCTGCGACGGCGTGACACAGAGCGGCTGGGTCTTCGCGTTGACGTTTACCTTCGTCGATCGATGGATTGAAAAGCAACCAGCCACGTGAGACCGCCACCCTTTGCGTTCTAAGCACAAGTTTCTAACCATGACACGAGTCATGATTGATTCTGCGAGAGTCCCACTCCGGCTTCATTCACACTCACACACCACAAGTACTCACAAAAGGCAGTATCAAGGGCCGAAGAGTTGAAGAGTGACAACCCAAAGTGGGAGACGGTGGGAGTGTTCTGGGCTAAGATGCAGAAACAACCAGGCAAAACTCGACTATCCTCGAACCACTGCTGCAGCTTG